TACATACCCCTTTATTTTTCTCCCGATTGATTATAATTCCATGTATATAGTACGTAAAATTTAATTAAATATTTCTTATTAATAGTGTTTTAATTAATTAATGCTAATTATTATTTAGTAATTTATTTTTTGCTGTTTTTTTGTTCCTGATAATCGGCAAAAAAGAAAAAAGTGTTTGTAAGCGTTTTGGGGTATAATACGAGATTGGTAGATTTTCACCCCCTTAAAAAATTCTTCGGTGTCTCACTGCCCAGTGTCGTAGGTGTGTGGTGAGGCAAGAAATAGGTCTATATTTATTATAACTAAATAATAAATACGGAATATGAACTCTTTTACCTGCAGAACTAAAATAAAAAAAACTAACACTTTTAAAACCGCGTTTAAAGCAAAACGCAAGATACAATAATAATAATAATAGCCACAAATATTATAATATTGTATGATACATCTATTATCAAGCAATTGCAAATACATTAAAAAAAAAGCATTTTCATCGTAAGTTAATTTTATTTGTTATAGTCAGAAGACTTAGTCTGCTTACTATCAGTCAATTTTGAATATTTTCGTACATAATAATTAGCTGCTCACATCTTCAGGCGGTCACCCGAAAATGTCTTAGCCGTCCATCCCGGGTGATAGTAAACTTCTAGAAGAATCTAAATCAGGGGTACTCAACCTTTTTTTCTGATGGGCTGCATACATATGTCAGCTATTTCACACGGGCCGCAATCGTATGTCAGCAATTTCACGCGCGCCGCCTCACAAATGAGGGAAAATGAGGGGGTTGAAATGAGGGAAATTGATCAAAATATTTTAACTCCGGTTTTAGCTTTTTTTTATATAATTACTATTTTTTATGTTTTTTTTATTTTTGTCACTAACACTGAATTAGAAGCATTTAAGAAACACTCCTTCATGATTTCTGCACCCTCAGTAAACGGTTTCAAATAATTACCTATAATAAAACAAACTTCATAAGATGTCTTTGTCACCGCTGTGACATTACCACTGACAAAACACTTTGTTGCGGTTGCAAAGATTATTCAAGAAAGCATATTTAAGCGAGGAGAAGTGTCACTGAATAATTCCTGTTTATTGGTATTTTTTAAATACAGCACTTTCGCGTGACAAATCAAACCATTACTGATCCATATTTGTTTTTCACCACAAAATAGTCAATCTCCCAATCGTCTTGAAATGATCTATTTTCTTCGAATATTTTTCGCTTACAAGATATGAAAGATTGTTAAAAATTAGTTCCACCCGTTAAACTGTCTCTACTCCACTATTGTCTGTTATCACTAACCGTAACCGTTACAAATAAAAAAAGAATATCTATTCGCACTCGTACGACATCGTCAGCAAAGAGCAAAAATGATATATTTGATTTCTTGACACCAAATTTTTAATACATTGTTCTTAAATAAGTGAATTTTTCAGAGCAATGGGTACTGACCGGGCCACTTAGAAAGGCTTGGTGGGCCGCAGTTAGAGTATCGCTGATCTATATATGATTGCCAACTCTCCGAAAATGGTCTCCAACTTGGTCACCTAGGTGGTCGTGAAACAATAAAAATTGTTACCAAAATGTTGCCAATATTTCGCCAAGTTTCCTTTGAATCTTCAGTAGAATGCAAGGAATGCGTTGCTGGCAAATATTACGATTTTAACATGAAATAAATACAATAGAGAGTAATATTAACATATTACACATCCAGATATAAATTATTTACAATATTTAAATCTTCATTATACAATTCATTATACATTATATTGTTACGAATTTTGTGTAAATAGTGTAAATAATTTGTATTTGGGTGTTTAATGCATTTATATTTTTCTCTGTTATATTTATTTCATGTAAAAATTGTACTATTCACAAGCAATACCGCCCCTTACGTGATTATTGCGGCTGAATCCTGTATTTAAAGGACTGGATTTTTGTTAATAAATTCGTATCGCTCTGGAAGAACTGTTTATTTTCTTTGTGATTGTTTTGCATAAAATCCTCGAACCTGGATCAACGTAACAATATGTATTCAAATATTCTTATATATCATATACTCATAAATCATGTACTTAATTCCCATCAATCGCTAATTTAAAGCAAAACTACGAATAGAAGAATAAAAAGACACATGAATGGTAGTAGTAATTTAATAGCAAACTCTGAGCTTTAGAAATTAAGAATTTCGGTTTAAACACATTGGGTTGTTCGGAAAGTAATTTCGTCTTCTTGTGTGGAAATGCAAGATAGTTTTCGTATAATAAACAAATACTTTATTAAATTATATATTAGCCGTTCTGGTCCAACTCATTTTGCCATCTTTCTGGTAGTAGCATAATTCCACGCTCATAAAATTTTTGGTCTTTCCTGGCAAAAAATTGATCGAGGTGGTTTCTGACCTCCTCATTTGAGGGGAAGGTTTTACCGTCTAAAAAATTTTGGAGTGACCGGAACAAATAATAATCCGATGGTGCCAGGTCTGAAGAATATGGTGGGTGTGGCATTGTATCACATTCAAGCTGCAAAAGTTTTCGGCGAGTGACCAAATTTGTGTGAGGTATCGCGTTGTCTTGGTGAAACACTACACCTTTCCTGTTGATTAGTTCAGACCTTTTCTGTTGAAGTACATTATTCAGTTTGTCCAGCTGATGACAGTAGACTTCCGAATTAATCGTTGTGTTATCCGGTAAAAGCTGAAAAAAAAAAAACCGATTCCTTTAAAATTCCACCAAACAGACAGCATCACCTTTTTTTGGTGAATATCGGCTTTGGAAATGGTTTGAGCCGGTTCATCTTTTTTGCTCCATTACCTTTTTCGTCCCCAGTGATGATGCGCTTCAAAAACGGATCATTTTCGTGACGTTTGAGAAGCGAATCGCAGACGTCAATGCGGCGACACAGATTTCTCTCTATGAGAACATGGGGAACCCATACACCGAGCTTCGAGGATAATCCCAGGCATTTCAAGTGGTCATAAACTGTTGAATTTGATAAATTTAACCTCAATCCGATCTCACGTGTTGTTATTCGCCGGTTCGCATCAACTAATGCCTTTATCGCGTCTTTATCAGCTTCAACCGGCCTTCCCGAACGTGGTGTTGAATAGTAAAAGCCGTTAGGTAGCGCTGTTGCATGAGACACTTCTATTTAGAAGTTGTCTTGTGGCAACAGTCAGTGCATGTATCTTTCTTAAGATGCAAACACTCGATATAGTGAAACATTCTCTTGTGAAATATTCTTGTGTCGAAATTCTAACTTGTGAACTATGCTATTACTTGTGAACTACATTATTACATGTGAACTATTCTATTCATATTGAAATGTTCTTCAGCATTGAAATATATCCAATAATATCAAATTGAACTTGGACTTATCATTGAATCAATTTTCTTTCAACAGACAGCAATTCGAAACCGAAACCTTTTATTCTTAGATTACAATTGTTTACAATCCGCTAAATTCGTCGCTATTGCTAACATACACTTGGTGCATCTTCGACATCAAAATTGCCGGATCGAAATTTAGCGAACCAGTTCTGGCACTGGCGTACTGTCAACACACCTTCTCCATACACATCGGTCAATTTCTTTCTGGCTTGAACAGCATTTTTACCCTTTCTGTAGTAAAACAGTAAGGTATGTCGAAAATGCTGCTTATCGCTCTCCATATTTAAAAGGGCACAAACCAAAAACTACTGCGTAGATATAATTGGAATTTTTCACACACAAGCCTTGCTATATGAGCTCTCAAAGCATATAAAAATTATACGGCTTAAATGTGAAGTTGGGTGCAAAAAAATACAATTAAATCCTCTATCGGGAAAAAACAAAATTACTTTCCGAACAACCCAATAGCTTTAAGGACAGCCAACTCCTTCCCTACATTTGCCTATGCCACCGAGCTGAAGTAAAATAAAAATATCTGTATAAAAAAACAGATAATATAAATATAAATTTATTGGTTTTTGATATTTTTTATTTATCTTAAATTCTGTGAATGTTTTTCTGTCTTGCGTAAAATCATTTTCATATTTGCGTAATTTTTCATAAACAAAAGAGAACTAAAGTTAAAAAACTGCATGTGTCTTTTTTCTCAACATCCATGAATGTCATCTAGTTTATTTATTTTTGAGATTCCCTTTATGCCGCCGCCTCTAATCGCTTTAGACGCATCATACCATTTTCAAATATCATCTTCGAAAAGTTGTGACAAGACTGAGATTTGGCGTCGTTTCAAACAAATATTTGAAAGAGCATCCGGAATGAGACTTTTTATAATAAATCATCGAATAAGTTGAAGTCTTCGAAGTTTAATGAACTCACCGTGGAATTTTTTGTATTAAAAACAAAACTAAGAGAATTATATGACTTTCAAAAAGTTTGACAAAATTTCAACTTCCTAAAATTTGTAATTCAATGAATTAAAATAACTGGCTGTGTTGATCGCAATATTCAATATTTTCAGATTCTTCCGAAAAATTGCCAACTATTGGCGCTTTTGTTGCGAATTGGCAAATAAAGATTCCTTTATTTTACAGCTCCTAACAGCTATTGTGTTCGCAATGGATGAGATAAAAATAAATTTTTATACTGACGATAAATTTTATATGAAGAAACGTTTGGGAGTACAAATTCAAAAAGAGAATGAGCATTGTCTTCGTTCTCTCTGAATTGGGTCTATTGAAAATATCTATTCTTTTTTTCTTCATCATTAATCAGTAAACTCTATTATACTGTATTAAATTTCGCTACTGTAACAAGTAATAGAAAAGAAAAATTAAGTCAATTCCTGCTTAGGTCAACGAGGAAAAATTTTATTTCGGTTACTTTTTATTAAATAAGTACAATGAATGTATATGGCATAGTCACAATATTAAGTGGCAAAGTACAGAAAGTTATTTTCCATTTTTCTTTCCATATATATATAGTGTTGGAATTTATTTTTGTGTTTGTTATTCTATTTAATTCATAAATCCCATCCTAAGAAATAAGATCATCCCAGGTGGCATTCGAAACCACGACCTTTAGTTTAGAAATCCAACGCGCTATCCATTGCGCTACTGGGACACAACGAGCGATTTCCCTTTTTATATATGCTGGTGGAGTATTATTTTTGCTCGTTACTATTTTTTTTTATTCATAAATTAAATTTATTTAATGAATTAATATTTGTGTGTGAAAAAAACTGTCTTGACATCACGTGTCCTCCACTACAAGTTTTAAAAAATGTATTTGAACTTGAGTGGATGAATAAAAAGTATTTTATAAACGATTGAAATTTGTACAAGATATCTATCAATAAATATACATAGGGAGACCTAACAGTAGAGGAATTGAAAAAAGGGCAACTTCTTTTGGCTCGCTGGCTACATTGTGCGAGTGGAAGACACCGGAAGGCGGCACCTTTATAAAATGGTTGCATTCATTATAAAAACAATAATAAATATAAGTTAAATAACATAGTGGTAATTTATTTATATTGTGCTAATTTCATATTTATAGCAGCAAGTATATAAATTTTAGAGGCAGTTTAATGAGACAAATAGACCCTGTCACACTTTTCAACTATTTTTTTTAAATCAGAAAGTGAGTTTGCTTGTTGAAATCCTCATCCCAGCCTGCAAGTTTATGCCAGTCATTTTGCATTTATATTTACTCTTATTGATTCTCATGCAAGAAAACTTTGCTCACAAAAGTATATGACGATTAAAATACAAAGAGCAATTTCTTCATTGAAGGTCAGCTGACAACGATTTGTAAATTTAAACGTCACGGCATCAGCGCAGCTACTCCCGAGTGGATCCTGTGTGTGTATCCAAGTTCTTTCTAAGAGCTCCTTAATCTGTTGCGAGTTTTTGATTACACGTTTTGGGGCCTCCAAAGCTTGGAGGCCCCGTATCATTGATACGGCGGGAGATGAGTGAGTGAATATTAACGTCGCACTGTTCAGCTGCACGAGGGCTTTTGGTGACGGACCTCGTCATTTTGAAACATGGTTAAGTGACGAGGATGACACCTGAGCTGGCATCCTCTCTCCTAATTACCACATCATACCAACGTGAGGAGATTTGAGCTCTCGGCAGATTTAACATTTATTGCTCCCCTACACAGTGGGTGTCCAGCAGTAGCAGTATTAGGCTCGAACTCATGACATGCTGGCCACGAGGTACTGGGCTTGAACTCGTGACAAGTCAGCATGACCACTAGGCTGCCGTGGCCATGGTGGTGTCATAGCATTAAATATTTCCTGTTTACTGCGATCAGACCGCAAGTCAATAAGTTCAAGCTGTAGCTCCTCAGGTGCTGTATCAATATTAGCAGCAAGGGAATAAAAGATCCAATTGAATTTAGGCTCAATTTTCTAAAAGTCCTAAAATCTTCTTGTGACTTCGTCCTCCAAACTCGACAGATGATGTCTTCGTAGAAACACTTTCAGATAGTTTATTTTCTCAATAAAAGAATTCACTTTTCATAAAAGTGAAGGAAAAAAAAAAGAATCTTTAATCCCCCGCTCGCGCGCGCGGGAAAAAAATCTCTAGCCAAAGTAGATTTCTTGACTGGGTGCAAAAAATCCTTTTGCGGGCCGCCCTGTTGAGTGAGTGAGTGCGTTGTTTAGTGGTGCAAGAGCCAATTTCGGCTATGCTCCACCACACGTTTGTTTAAATAATTATTAAAATACACATGAAATATATACAAATATTTTATATGTGTTTATGCCTGCATGCCATAATGTGTTAATTGTAAAACGTAAGTTTTCTCAGTAGAAAAAACTAATATAATTGAACTAGTAAGTTTTAAAATATTTGTCTGTGGTCTGGACGTGAAAAGAAGAAAAGGAGAAATGAGATGACAAGAAAGAGGGTTGAAAATAGAAAAGGATCACTAGGGTACCCCGGGTTCGTGAAACCCGTGTTAAACCCCTTGGGAAAAGGAAAAGATCACTAGGGTACCTCGGGATTGTAACACCCGTACTCACCTATAGAAGTTGAGCCCCCTGAGGGGGGTCGCCATGTTGAAATGTTAATTGCAAGATGGATGGTAAAATATGAAAAAAATTAGCTTGCTATTGTACGTTTCTTTGACTGTCGGTGCACTCGAAAATATGCCATAAAACCTCAGTGAAAATATCTAACGCTAGAAAAAGACGTGGCAAATCAGATAATGTAGGAATTTTGATATAAATTATTGTTCTAATTATGAGCTTTCATGATTAACATACTTTACTTGTAAGATTTCATTATGTATTAGGCCACAGGTATGGATATAGTTACCTTAAGAATTATCCAGATATTCAGTATATCTACTATGAACATTTCTGAAGAAATTCTTATTTTTTTCAATGTATATTTAATTAAGTAAACTTAATTAATGCAACTTTATGTACCTTAAATCCACATGTATATTTAATTAATATCAACTTAATGTGCCTTTAACTTATCTTTAATCAATTCTCTTATAAACTACAAACAAAGCTTTAACGATTTCAAAGTTTCATTTAGATGTTTTCTACGTCCGTTGAAACTGTTTTGCAATCATTCTTAAATCATTAGAATATCCATTAAGCTTATTACATTCCTTTTAAAGTTTATTAATGAAAGGTTTCTAAAATAATACAAATACATGTAGGAACGGTATTCTTTTTTTAAAAAATGTGGGTATTTTATTGTATATAGTTAAATGATTTTTTTAAAGAAACTGATGTTAAATCAAGTATAAATAAGCAATTTTTCATTAGATAGTGAACTCCTTACATGCGGTTTACCAGCTCAAATCCTCCTTTGCATTGAACCGCTGGGCTCCAGATTTTTTTTTCATATGGGATGATTAATGTGGTAATTATTTTTTTATCAACAGACAAATCCAAAAAAAAAGAGAGAATAAAAAGGATATACAGGGCAGACCCAAATTTAAAGTACAAACTTGAAGCGCAGGTACAGGACATTGTAAGAATCATTTATGAAATAGGAATGTATGGGGCGTGAGTGACGCGGTAAGGAACAAACACAAAACATTAGAGATGAAAGGAAAGATAAAAGTGTTTATTGAAAGCGTCGTCGATAAGAGAGAGTGTAACGTTTACAATAACTGTTTAGTACATGAGCTATGAAGTCTAGTAGCATGGCACATTGCCGAACCACCCACCGGCAGTCGGAGAAAATAGTCTGTTCTCTCTGAAAATGGAAGAGGTGTAAGCGATTTTCGTTCAACTCTACAAGCGGTCTGATGACTGACATACGGGATGATCAACAGCTCTTGTTTATCAACTAAAACGTTCAAGATGCTTCCTTTCAGGCTTGGACTGCACACAGCTCTTCGTCCATCAGCATCCTGTCTGGTCAAGTGGAACGAACTTGTTTCACGAAATGGACGATGTAACCGCTGAAACATTCTGTCAGGGAACTGCACGCGCTACGTTTGCAGCGCAGCTCTGCCGTTCTCATTTGCCCGGCCGTACATGTAATGCGTGTCTGTATTTTCAGTAGACGTAAAGTCTCCCATCGTAGACGTCAGCAGCATTGCGAATGGCACTTTCTGCTTCTGAGATGCATCATGTTGAACGGTGGTTAGACATCTACTGCACCCTATCGGCAACGCAACCAACCCAAAGCTCCATTTCTCTTTTGTTTGTGCCTCACCGCGTCACTTGCGCCCATACAGTCCTATGCAGTAAATGATTGCTACCCTTGAAGTTTGTGCCATGAATTCGGGACCACCCTGTATGTTGTGCAAATACATTCAAAATTAAGTAAAAATCGGAAAGAGATTGACATTCGTATTTTTCCAAATCTTTGACACGTTAGCGATCTACTTTCCTTGATTATTAGTTGCTTAAAGCAATTCTAACTTTTATTCCATTACGCGATTTACATAAATATCCTCCCTCCCTTCGTGGCAGCGGTAGCCTAGTGTCCAAGGGAACGGACTCGTGACCGGCGTGTCATGAGTTTGAGTCCAGTGCCGCTGAAGACCCACCGTGTAGAGGAGCGATTCAAAGTTAAATCTGTCGAGGGCTCAAAAGTCCTCCCGTTGGTGTAGTTTGGTGGTTAGGAGAGAGGTGCCAGCTTCGTTGTCGTCCTTTTCACTTGACCATGGTTCAAAATTACGTCACCAAAATCTCTCGTGTAGCTGAACAGTGCGATATTAATATTCATCCCCTCCACTTCAAAACTTTTTTTGATTCAACTCTGAAAATTCGATTCTGGCCTGCGATTGTTTGGAAGAATAATCCGATTTCAGAGAGAGGAGTAGGGTTGACATTTTTACTCTTATTCCTAAGAAAGGTAGAAGAATTTTGATTATTACAGCAAAAACAATTTCATAAGAGCAGCAATTTAAATAGGAAATATTTGATTTGATTATGCGTATTTGCGAAATATCGAACGTTCAAATTCATGAAACACCAAGATGAAGTTTCATGGCTTGACAACGAAAACATCGAAGAAAGTGTGGCTTGGAAAGTAATTAATCATAACTGATTGCTGAACTTACGATTCTATTGGAGCAAAACTGAAGTGAAACAAACTTTTAAAGTTGCAAAGTGCTCCTAATCCATTGAACGTACATGACTCTAACCGTTAAAGACAGTTTTAGAATACTGAGAATATGACATTAAAATTAAAGTAGATCTATTTGTTTTTTTAAAAAAAGTTTCAAGTTTTTATTAAGTTTCAAAATAAAAGAAAATTAATGTGAGAATGCAGAAGAAAAAGAAATCCCTCTGTGACTAGAAAAGTACAAAGAAAAATTGTAATCCTTCATCTCACAATACTTCCATCAAGAGTTATCAAACTTAGGTAGCTTGAATTTTAAGATATACTTTTTGAAGAATAAAAAAAAATAATAATAATGCCGCCAATATATCGATATTTAAACAAAATAAAAATCAAATGGTTCTATATACAGTCTGTCAAAAAAGTATTTGGACACGCTACCATTTCATAGATTTTTATCGTAATATTTTATTTTAACATACATATGAAACTAATAAAAAGTAAATGCTATTTTGGTAAATACAATTAATTATAATTTGAGCAAAACTCATACATTAATGCAATTATGGTTAAATT